GAGGGGGTGGAGAGGATGGGCAGCTGGCTGAAGGGGGCCTCGTTTGCGGGCGACTTGCAGCGGCGACGAAGCCCCACTCTCCGAACTCTCTCACGTCCCTTCCCCCACCCCTTCGTCTCAGGCCTCACTCCCTCTCTCCCTCACCCGTCTGCAAACTCAGCGCCCACGAAATTAGGAAGGAAAAGGAAGATCGATGACTCCAGATGCCGCAAACACCGTTCCCCTTCCCCCCACCTGCCGCCTCCAGCCAGCCCCACGGAACTTAGCAGGTTGTCAGCGCTCTGCTTACGAAGCCCCGCGTCTCCTTGAATGGAAATTCAAAGCCGTTATATCTCCTCCCCCAAATAGTCCCAAATAGTCCGCTAGGAGTCCTCTCTCAGGTTTAAATCCCATCCTATCTCCTGCAGCGTCACTCTGCCCACCTCTGGGAGGAAAATCCCCACCTCAGGTAGGGCTCCTACCCCAAGGGTCGTCCTTATTCCTATGTAATCTGGGCTTGGATGACATCCCAGGTGCTAGCTCCAACAATGTTTGCCTCAATTTCCCCCGCGAGCCACCAGGGGAGGAGCCCTGGCCGTCTCTGCCAGACGTTAAAACCTACACCATCCCCTCCTTCCCTACAAAGGTCTCACACAAACTCGTATTGGATTTCACTTTATTTTGTTCCCTTTCCCGTCTGTTTTGGAGTAGAAAAAATATCACCGAGAGGAAGCAGCTGGAAAGGGGCAGGTGGAACAGGACTGCAGGGATGGCAAGGAGGCAGGCAGAGGGCAGGGGCCAGTCATCGCCGACGCCCAGGAGCCTGCTTCCACTACCCTAATTGGGGGTTTTGAAGAAAGAGGAACAGGCAAACGTCAGGCAGAAGGGATGGCTTACACGTCTTTACAGTCTTTACTCGGAGACAGGGTGGAGCAGGAGAATGAGAGCCTGGGGTAAGAAAGTCGGGGTGGGATCAGGGTGCCAGGCCAGGCGTTATTAAAGCTTCGGCCTAAGGGAGTGTCCAGCCCAGAGCCGGGGTCGTCAAGGGGAACCAATGTGGGCGTAGGGGACGCTGGGACCGCCTATTCTGGGGCTGCGCTCTTGTTCCTCCATTTTGGGGTGTAGCTGAGGGGGCCTCAAAGGCACTCCCCGTAAGGAAAAGGGGACCCACGCCAGCTGATAGTCCCCACGAGGGCTGTTCTTCTCGTCCCCAGAATGGAAGGGTGGACGGGGCCACAGGAGTTGCGGGACATTGGGAGGAGTCTCACTTAGGGAGGCCGGGATTTGGCGGGAAGCTCAGGGCCCGGGCGCACTATCCAAAGTAGGGGTGCTCGCTCTGGAAGTTGTAGTCTGGGCACACCTTCTGCACCAGTTTATAATCAAAGCTGAGGAAGGAGACGAAGATGCAGATGACTTTGAAGGGCTTGGCGCAGAGCCAGGCGGCCTGACTCTGCGTGTGCTCGGTGAAGCACACCTGCGACGGGTCGTACAGGCAGGGGCGGTGCTTGCGCGCGCGGTTCGTCTTCTCATACTCCACGTGGCAATTGAAAGCGCGCGACTCTTTGGCCCCGGGCACTCCCAGGGCTCCCCCGAGTGGGCCCGCGAGAGCGCCCCCGAGGGTGCCTCCTAGCCCTGCCCCCGCAGCAGCTAGCCCCAGAGGGGGGCCCAGCCCAGGGAGGACCCCCTCCAGGGCCAGCGAAGACTGCAGAGGGTGGGGGGCGGGGCCCGGCAGCCAGACGCCGCCGAACTCCACCCGCTTAGAGGGAGGCACGATGCTGACACTGAGGTTGCCCAGGCTGGAGGAGTTGTGGCGGAAGTACACGCTGAAGGTCCCGTTCACGTGGTCCACGATCTTGCCGGTCACGAGCAGCGAGAACTTGAGGGTATGCACCCGGAAGTAGAAGTCCCCCCAGCCAAAGATCTTTTTGGCGCGGGCCGCTTTGATAGACGGCTTTCTCTTGGTGCGCTGCGCGGGCAGCGCCCCCGCCGCCCCCACCCGGGCCAGGGCCGCAGTGTGGTTAGCGGGCCAGGCCCAGCTCCAGGCGCGCGCCGTGCCCAGGCCGTCGGAAGACTGCGGCGCCGGGAGTCCTTGGGCGGGGGCGCCCCCTCCGGCCGCAGCGGGGCGCAGCTCCAAGTACTGCGGCCTCCCGGACTCCGGTATCTGGGCACTGACGGCCTGTGGACGAAAAGAGGAAGAAAAAGAGACGCTGGGAGTTGTCCCTGGCCACCCGACAAGGGCCTTAACCGTGCCAGCCCCTTTCCAAAGCCGCTAGGAGACCGGATGGAATCGAGCGGCCCACAGCCAGTGGTTCAAGGAGCGTGCGTTGTAGTAGATCTGCAGCCCTTTCAAGCTGTGTGGTCTTGGCCAAGTCACTTCACCCATCTAGGCCTCAGTTTCTACATCTGTGAGATGACACTGAGAATCCTTATGTTCTTCCACATCTCCCATGCAGCTGAAAAAGCCCAAGCCAGTGTGGGTTTGACTAGGGGGACAGGGACACTGTCTCCTCCAGCCTGGAACCTGCTTGGTTCAGAGTAGCTATTGTCAACCTTTTTCATCTCATGGCACACATAAACTAATTACTAAAATTCTGCAGCACACCAAAAAATATATTTTTTGCTTATCTGACAAAAAATAGGTATCACTGTGATTCATTCACACCGGATGGCTATTGTTGTGTTGGCTGTTGTCATTTTTTAATTTGACAATCTAAGGGAAAGGAGGTCAGTGGCCTTGACTAAATAGTCAGTCAGGTATTGCATGTTTTAAAAATTCTTGTGGCGCACCAGTGTGCAGCTGCACATTGGTGAAAATCGCTGGCTCACAGTAATGGGCCAGGGAGGAGTTGGAGTCAGGCAAGTGAGGCTATGACCGCTGTCAACATCCAGCATCAAGAAAGAGGTGAAGACCTCCAGATGCCTCTGTGGAGACTAGAGCCCTGACCCCAGCCTCATCCTCTACTCCCTGTGGGGAGGAGCATAGGAAACCAGTAGAGCTGAGGAGAGCATCTGGGCGTTGGGGGTTAAGGCTTGGGGGCTACTCAGGTCCTTCTCCCTGCCTCCAGCACTCCTGCTCAGTGAGGGAGGCTGCCTGGTGGTTTTTCCCAGGGCTCGGGGGCAGAGGAGGAGCAGCCCCTGCCCGCCCCTACCCCTCTCCTTGTGTCTCAGGTGGCAGCGATCTGGGAGACAGCGCGGTCGCGTGTACAAGATAGATCGAGAGGTGGGAGCCGCGGGGCCAGGCCTGGGCCATCAATTATCTGGGGGTGGGGAGGCAGGGGTGGCCGGGAGTTAAGGAGACAGTCGGTCAGAGCGAGAGGAAGAAATATGGAGATGCAGCTCCAGTGAGGGGAGTGGGAGGGAGAGGAGCTGTACATGTCAGAGTGTGTCAGTCAGACTGTGCTAGCTGTGGCTGTTAGGGTGGCCCTGACTGCGTGTGGGTTCACACTGGGGGGAGGGGGTATTGAATGTCAGTCTGGTGTGGTTATGTTTCTGTTAGCCTGGGATGGTTGTATTGTGTATCTGTCTACCTGGAGTGATGTGTGTGTCTGTGTGTGTAGCTATGGTGATAGGTGTGTGTCTGCTTGGGGTGGCTGTGCATGGTGGTTATATGTGTGGCCCTGGTGACTGTATGTGTGTGTGTCTGTATGCCCTTGTGTATCAGTCTGCGGAGGCTGTGTGTTTATGTGTGTGTGCCTGCTTGTGGTAGCTGAATTCTGTTGTGTCAGTCTGTGGCAGCTATGTATGTGTCCCTGGGTTGTATGTGTGCCTAGGTTGCATGTGTACCTGGTTGGCTGTATGTATTAATCTAAACAAGGCTGTGTATTAGTCTGTGGTAGTTGCATCTGTGTGACAGGTATTAGTTGTATGCCTGGGTTGACTGTGTGTGATTCTCTGGGTGCATCACTCTTCCTGTGTGAGTTCCTATCCTCCTGCGTCCATGTGTCAAGCTCCTTCTAAGGGGTGTGTGTGTCAGTATATCCATAATGACAGAACATGTGTGATCTCCTTGTATTTCTCCTGGGGGGGGTGTGCATGTGTGTGAGTTGTATATGAATGGTCCCACTTGGCTGAGCTTTGGGTAAAGTAAAGACGCCTGACAGCATGGGTGTCCCCCTCTGTACACACCCATGTTTATACACCATGTGTCCATAGGCGACAGGAACGGCAGAGTCAAGCTGCTGGGCTAGAATCTCCACCGCCTGGTCCCCATCCCCACAGCTCTGCGATCCTGGGTTATTAATGCAGCTGCCGCCACCCGATCATCATACATATTTATCGCCCCCCTCATTCCCCCGCCCGTCCATACCTTCTCCCAGCTCAGGTGAGGGGGGGGAGAAACAGTGATTGACTCAGGCGTGTTTGAGCTGACAGCTAACACCCTGAGGGCAGGCCTGATAGGGGTTGGGGGAAAGGGGTCCTAGGCCACAGCAGGAGGGGGGGAAGCACCTCTCCTGGAAGTGGACTTGGAGAGAGCAGAACTGGAGCCCCAGAGAGGGCATTGGAGGAGAGAGTGTGTGAAGCTGTGAGGGAAAGTGGAAGGGTGGGGCTGCAGGGACATTTGAGCTCCGACACCTACTCTCCTCACCCCTCTGGGCTCAACCACTGCTTTTTCCAGGGACTTCCATCAGTCCCTGAAGCCTGCAGCTACAAACTCCAAATGCCTCTGAGCCATTCCCTGCCCCAGCACACCCCAGCATCACCCAGTGTCCTGCACCCTGCCCAGGACCTGTGGAGGGCTGGCTCAGTCCAGCAATTCCTCCCAGGCAGGGTCTGGGATAGGGAGGCTGGTTTGGCTGGGTGCTGGGGGTTGCCAGGTATCTCCTCTCTGATCCCAGACAAATTGATGTCTGTGCTCCTCTGATCCTGGCAAATCCCCGGGCTTTGGACACCCGTACCCCCACCCGCCGTAGTAGACAGCCAAGATCAAAGGGAAGAGTTGGGGGGGCAGTCAAAGCGACCTTGCAGTGCAGAGCTCGGACGGGGAGGAGCGAGAGTCTGCGAGGAAACGAGCCGAGAAATGGGAACATGGAATAAAATAAAATAAAATCCTCCCTCTGGCTTCCTTGCTCGTCTGCTCCCTTCCCTCTCGCTCTCCCTCTTCCACTGTTTTTTTCCATCTCTCTCTCCCTCTGACTCTCAGTCTCTTTTTTTGTCTTTCAGTCTCTTCCTCACTGCTTCTAATTTCCCTTTTATGATTCTATTTTTCTCCCTGTTTATGTCTCTAGTTGTGGTCCTTTCCCTCTACCCTTCAAGTTGTCTCTCTCCAGCTGTGGGTGGGGGTGGAAGTGAGGGGAAAACAGGGTGACAAGGAAGCCCCACTTTGTCCAGAATCCATGGTGCTGTCCCCCCTTCTAGAACTAAGGTGAGAGCAGAGTATTGTCCGAGGACGGGTTCCCCTCAGTCCAGAGCTGGTTTAATTAAGCTAATTGAGCGCAGTGACATTTTCGGAGGGGAAAGGCAAGCCCGGCTGTCGGGCGGGGGTGGGGGTGGGTGCTCAGAGGTGTTCAGTGGCAGACAGGGATGTGGGGGTGGGTG